GGTTGTCGGTTGTGTGTGCTTGTCGGACTGGGCTGTTGTATATCGACGTCCACGATGTCCAGTGGCGACGGTCCAGTCGTTCTCGTGTCGGGATGATGCCGCGTCCGGAAAATCGGGACCCAATCGCTCGCGTACGAGTTGCCTCGGCTGAAAAAGAAAAAGAGCAATGGAACGTGTGACAAGTGGAATTAGCTATGCACTATTAACCGACGGAAACGGTTTAAATGAGGCCGGCTCCGCTAATGGACTGGCCAAGTATGTAGGTGGAAACCTATCGGCGGACAGGGTAATAACGCGATGCTGAAATTTAAATATTAGAAATCGATCTTGCTTGCCTCCTTTCCCTTTGTCGAGAAAAATTTCTTCGCCATCGAGAATCGTAATATTTGAGATTCTGTATTAAATGATATTCAGTATTATGAACAGTTTTTGATAGTAGTTTCGACATTTGAGAGTAGATTATGAATTAGGTTATATGTAGATTAAAAATGATACCTGTCAAAATTTTGCCTTGATTAACAATTCTAATTGGATTTATGCTGAGATTTTTTTTTACAATTATTTCGTTTAATTTACATATTGTTTATAAAATGTATATGTACTCGTAGCTCAACTCTCGTACAATATCAACTGCCGTGCAATTCCACTGTAGCGAAAGAATTAATATTGTATTAAAAACAAAATTGCATTAATATTGTGTTAATATTAAAATATGTTTATAGTCATTTTACAATAAAAGTTAATGGATTCCTCTGTTGATTATATGAAAATAATTTAAGATTATTTAGCTTAAAAAAAAAGTGTGTGGTCAGGATCTAAAGTCTTTAGATCACACACTAAATAAACTATAAACTGATATAATGATATTATAATAATAAAAAATCAAACGTAATAAAAAAAAAAGCTTGTCTAAAATATAAAATATTACGACGTGTACGAAAATATCCACATAATCGAATCGTTCGATTTTCAGAAGTTAAGAAATAATAATGTCGCGTAAAAAAATATTTCCCAAAAACGTATGTTATATTATATGTCTCTAAATACATTTGTATAAACGACATAACAATTGAAAATTAACATCACACGGCCCTGAAATTCGATTTTTTTTATCTTTTCTTATGTATATTTCATATATTGCTGTTTCAAAATGCAATTTTTAACCATGAAACCGATTTTACAATTTCGCAATTCCCATTAAAGTATATAAATTCTTTTCAATCGTAAATAGAAAAATGAAATAATGATAACAATTAATATCAATTTCAATAAGAGAAAATGTCGTATTAATGAGGTTAGAGAGACTTGTCAGCACGTCAGAATCCTTATCTCGTTCGAGAAGACTGTCAAAGGATTGATGTCCGTCAGGATTAACTCCGGTGAAAGAAAGTATTATAAACGCGAAACGCATTTCCGTCTATCATCGTAACGCGTCTCTACAACCTTTAACAGTGTTTCCTAGTTAACGGTAAAAACTTCCTTCCATTAAAGATATTATTCCTTTCTTTCTAACCTCAAAAAAAGAGAACACGGTAAAAAGACGAGCACCATCAAAACTTTATCGTTACTTTCGAGTGTCAAAAATTGAAAATAAGACGAAAAAAAGAACACTTGTCGATGTTTTTTTAAACGTTCCAACGTTTAACGAGATCGAACGATATAGAAACGAAAGATTCTTCGCCACGGTGTAACGAGCCATGTTTCCGTCACATGTAAAACGACGTTCGTCCTCGAGAGGATTGCAAAGGCTCGAAAACACTGGGAAAAGGAGCAAAGGAAGGTG